TCTGCTTCTGGTGCTGGTGGTGGCGCAACGAACTACCAGGGCCAGCCACCCCATTAAGTCTGTCTACCATCCTGACAAAGTATGCAGATATTACGCAAGTCATTACTCACGTTATCTGTACTATACATATATGGTGAAATTCTGACAGCTGGAATCAGTGAGATTTTACCATTGATCGAGCAGAATGATGATTTCATGAGCCATTTTCTTGCTCACATAAAAGAGGATAACACTTTGTTTTTTCCAGTGTGACTCCTGACCTTCAAATAATCACACTAAAGATGTTGCTGTTACTAAAATTTAGTTTAATTGACCATAAAGTGAAGTCACCCAGTTCTACAGGTCACAAATGTATTACAAACTCTCCAAACAGCGGTGAAGCAAAAAGTAAAGGCTGATGGAGGCAAGAGGAAATACCCATGGGCTGTCTGCAGGCACACTGTCTTCCCGGGGGAAATTGGTTGTTTTTGAACTGGCTAAGACACAGATAAAGGAGAAACAATCTCTTCCATGTGTCAATACTCCTGTTATTACAGTCCTGTAAAGTTTGTACACTGCTGATCAAAGGAAGAAGGTGAGCCAGCAGGAGAAGGAAAGTGCAGTGAAAGCATGAAACTGAGATTCCCCAATTTTGAGAGAAAAATTGGAGAGCTACAAACTTCAGTACAAATGAAATGCATTAGATCTCAAATGCTTTTTCAGGTTAGATTTTCAAGCAGTCTTCTCAGTGGTGTACAGTCTTAAACATTAGTTTTCTCTGGAATGAGTGCCTTAGATGCTTTAGTTAGGTCATCACAATAGCATCCTATCTGGGATATTTAGGACATACTTTGAAAATTTCATTTATCTCAAGTAGCTATTTCATTGTCTCAGTGGGACAACACGCCGAGAGTTTTTCCCTTCATGAACACCCCAACTGTGCCAGTGCCTTCCTCCCACCCCCTTTTTCTGGGCCTTACTACAATTTCAGAAATCCATGCCTTAGACTTTCTGTAATGAGTTGGGCAATTAAGTCCCCCTTGATCATATCACAAACTCTCTCACAGCAAACGATGGAAAAATACCAGTTGTACTGGCAACATCTGTTGCCTGGCCAAGGATGGGAACTTGACAAAACAGGCCTTGGTACATCCCTTATCTGAATAGAAATGACAAAGGAAGCCTGGGAGGTCTGAGCAAAGTAGACCTCAGTACATCCCTTATCTGAATCATAGCTCGAGTAGAACACAGTATCAGTGCTACCGCGATTTTTAGAATTCCAGCAATTGCTCACTAGAATTGTGGTCAGAATGGAAATTCACTAATGACTAAAGTCAATCATGTGAATCTATAAAGAGCAGTCCTAAAATGAGATCCTTTGAGCTCTCTTGTGACCAGCATCTCCCTCGGGGTGGGACCTCTCAGAGCTCACCAAACTCTTAAGTTTGTGAAATTGGGAGGATCGCGGTTGAAATCAGACAACGAAGTCTAGGCCAAACATCCTTCACTCCTCGAGACTCAACTCTCGCCCGTTGAGAGATGCCAAGGCATTAGAAGTGAGTATTTCACAGAACTCGAGGGAAATTTTTCTAATAGGTATACCTACCTTTATATACTTATATCTTTATACACTTATTTCTTTATACATTTATTTCCTTATACATGTATCTCTTTGTACATATATCTCTGTACATATGTCTCTTTCTCTTAGTGTTTGTGTGCATGCATGTGTGAATCGATTGAAATACCCTATAATAATTTAAGTTACTGTTAGGATCATAGTAAATCCTATTAATTTACTTTGTAGATGTTAAATTAGTCAACGATTAAGTGCCATTAGATGAAAAGTGCTGCTAAATCCTGCTGCTAACTACCCCATTCCTGGTATCTGTTAGACATAAACTGTTGACCAAGTCTGGGACTAGGGGTAGATCCAGCTGCACCTGAACTCCTCTTCGAGAAGGAATTTAGAACGCAAGGGAGTCTACTCCGAACCTTGTGACTCAATGGGAGAGTCTCCCTTACCCCTTCCCCTTTTACCCTGGTCTCTGTGTAAAGCACTCTAGCTTGAATTTAACCTTTTTTTTCTTTCTTGTTTACCTCTCTTTCATGTAATAAGTAATAGAGTGAACCTTGCCATTGAACTTTGTTGTTACCTTTCTACTAATTCATATTAAAACCATTTTTGCTAATAAATTTGACAGTGATTCTTTGAACTACTACTGTTTCCTCCACAACATCGGCTCCACATTGGCCTCCTCATGACAGGTCCACTGCAGTGTCTATCCCATGCCACCTCCAAATATGAACTTTCATATTCCATCACTGCTTCACTGAACCATCTCCTTCTGCCTCCCATTATCTCACATCGATCCATCGCTTTGGGGAGAATCCTCCTTTCCTGACTGTAATCCCTAATCCTTTACCTCCAGATGCAAATTTCCTCCCACCTAGACTTGATGCTGATGCCAGACTCCCTGTCACACCAGGGAATTGCTCACGAGCACAGCTTTTGAACCCAGGAGGCACCACAGCTCACTAAAGGGAAAACAGCACACTGCTTCAGGAAACCGTCCTGATAAACCCATAGCCTTGTGCGTTGCAAGGCAAGGTAAATGACTACATTACCCAGCGCCTGTGCTGCTGGGCCTTGGATGATCTGTGCAACTGGGGGCCTTGCAGGATTGATTTGAGCCAAGGAGGAGGCTGAGCATAGGAAGGAGGAGTCAGGGATCACTTTGACACCAAGTGGGCATGAGATTCCCCTCTACCCCTGTTACAGAGTACCCGCCTCTCAAATGTCACTAGGTTTTCCCCTTCTTTTTCCCTGTCCTTCCTAGTCTCCCAGCAAGTCTTGCCACGTTTTTCTTCTCAGTGCTCCCAACCCATATGGCTTCTTCCTGGGGGCCTGCAGCTGTCTTTTTACTTGCTGAGCTTTAACCTGGCATCGTGCTAGGTACTGTAATGTGGACACCCTGCTCAGGCTGTTGATGGTAGGACATCTTTCTCAGCCAGGGCTGCTGCATCCCACTCGGGAAGGAAACTTGCTGATTTTCTGGTGCCATGCAGCAGCAGCAAGATCTGCATCTCCTCTCTCATCTCCTTAGCCTACCTCTGCTAAGAGGGTAAAAATCCCTTTTATTTAAAGAGGGTGTCACCGTTAGGCTTTTCTCATACAGCTTTGGATCACTGCCTCAGGAAAAGACCAGACATTGAAGTCCTGCTCCTCATCCACCCAGCATGAGGACATGTACTTGTGTTCTGGAGACAGGGAGCTTGCAGAGCTCACAGACAGACCTGGGCTCTGCGCCCTGAGCCGCTCCTCCCCGGCTGAGTGCGTGCGTGGAGGACCTGGGTACCCAGCTAAAATGTCCTGGAGAGTCCAAGTGGCCTTTGATGACAGGCTTCTGTCTCTATTAGCCCTTTAGGCCTGGTTTAAGAAAGCGAAACGAAACAAAACAAAGGCAAAGTGGAAGAGAAGGGGCCTTCCTACAACACGCAAAGCTCTGACAGCTCTGCTAGCGAGCAGACGAGCCCGTGTCTGCGATGAAGAGCATGCAGGGCTCTGGCAAGGGCTGCAAGCACAGAGGAAAAATCCGTCTGAGCATCTAGCTCTCCACACGTGCTGAGGCACTTACTAAGCCATAATAACTGTGCTGCAGGGCATCTTTTGCCTTCTTATTGTGTAGGGATTAAGGTTTGTCTGCCTTGATGAGAAGCTGTCCCGATTGCTCGCAACCTTTCAGTATTGCCAGTTAAAACTGTTTTAAAGAGACAGAAAGGCAATCAGAAAACAGTTCCCACTCTGTCCTTTAAAATAAACTCAATTTTAACACGTAATTATGTGCAATACAGACTCGGTCCTATTTACTTCTGCCAGGCTGCTTCTTGGTTTTGATGTCACAGGCTGCTCACTCTCACCGGGAGAGAGGCTTTGATTAGGAAGAAGGAAAGGCTGTCGGAGGGGAGAAAGCAGGAGCGAATAGTGAGACTGGCAGCACACTGCTGTCTCTGCCACTCACCTGCTCGATGACCTTGGGCATGTGACAGTGGCATTTGAGGCTTTGGTTTCCCTGCTTTTAAAGGAGGAGGGAAGGAGGCAATCATTTTCCTCCCACGCATCATGCTTGGAGACGCAGGACTGCGAAGCGCTAAACTAGAGCAGTAAAACCATTCCGGTAGCCTAATGACAGCTCCAGAGAAGTAGCAGAATATATCTATTTTTCTCCATCTTTTTTGAGCATAGTTAATGAAGAGACAAGAAAGCCCCTGCCCTGGCTGAGAGCAAGCAGCAACTGTGAAAGCGATGCACCGAAATATAGGAAACACACTGGAGTGCAGGAATTCAGTTACACGGCTGTTTGCAAATTAATGGCTAAATCAATTAAATGAAAGCATGGGATTTCTCTTGAGGAAAGTCTAGTCACCATCGCAGGGAGAAGGGGAGGGGTTGTGGAGCGGGGATGACATAATCACGTTTGCGAATCACCAGCAGTGTGCATGCTTTAATCCATTAATGGGGTTTTTATCTGTGATCATAAAAAGCAGGTTACTTTCAGCCTGGAAGGGAGTGAGGGTTGGAGGAGAGGGGAGGGGAGAGAAAGAGCAAGACAGAGAGAGAGAGAGAGAGAGAGCAAGAGAGAAAGAGCACAATTCACTCGGTGAATTGCTTGCAAGCTTTGGGCTGATAATTAGGGATCTCAGGAGAGCAGTTTCTCAGAATAACCCGCTCTCCTTCAAATGGATCGAATGGAGACAGTGGTTCAGTCCTGCTGATATTTTTTAAGCCCTCCTCACATTTTGATGGGCATTCCCAGTGCTTTTGTGCACGTCTCGGAAAGCGTTGACGTGGAAAGGAGCAGCGAGGAGGGGGAGGTTGGAGAAAAAAACTGCAGCTCTTCTAAAAATACGGAGGGCATGCAAGAGTGCGAGCAGGCTGGGGAGGAGGGCGAGGTGAGCGTGCCTCGCACCATGTTCCCTGGCGCAGTTTCGGAGATGTCCCTCCTGTGACTGGACCCACCATGAGCATCTGGGAGGTGATCCTGGCTTTCGTGGTGGTGGTGCTGATGCTCGTGGCCCTGCTGGCCAACGTGCTGGTGCTGATGTGCTTCCTGTACAGCGCTGACATCCGCAAGCAGGTCCCGGGATTGTTCATCCTCAACCTCACCTTCTGCAACCTGTTGATGACTGTTTCGAACATGCCCCTGACTTTGGCTGGGATCATTTACAAGAGTCAACCAGGAGGAGATCAGATCTGCCACATTGTGGGCTTCCTGGAGACTTTTCTCACCACGAACTCCATGTTGAGCATGGCAGCTTTGAGCATTGACAGGTGGATTGCTGTGGTCTTCCCTCTAAGTTATCACTCCAAAATGAGGTACAGAGATGCTGCTCTCATACTGAGCTACACGTGGTTACACTCGGTGTCGTTCCCGATAGTAGCAGCTTCTCTCTCCTGGGTGGGTTTCCATCACCTCTATGCCTCCTGCACCCTGTACAACAAGAGACCAGAGGATAGGACACAGTTTGTGATTTTCACTGGGGTCTTTCACACCCTCAGCTTCCTCCTCTCCCTTATAGTCCTGTGTTTCACATATCTAAAAGTGCTGAAGGTGGCACGGTTTCACTGTAAGCGGATTGACGTGATCACTATGCAGACCCTGGTGCTGCTTGTGGACATCCATCCCAGGTAAGGTGCCTGTCTGTTCAGCAAGTGAGACTATTCGCTGCAGAGGACCGAGGACCGGGTTCTGTGTTATGTTAAATACAGTTTGATCTGTATCACAGCAGGGGATGGGGAGGGGAAGAAAACAAGCATCCTTCTTCCCAGTTTCTATTCTGCATGTTTCTTTTTACTTGCGTTTATTTTTCCGGTTTCAGAAGCAACACTTTTTTTGTTATGCTTAAGGGCTTGTTTCGGGAGGGAGAGCAAAGAAACAGGCAGCTTTGGCTGAGCATGCACTTCCCTTTGAGATAGTGATCAGATCACTGCCCTTTGTCTCCGAAGGTGGATTTAGCGTTCGATAAATTTGTGTTTTTTGGCACTGTCAGCCCCAAACATTGCTGGATCCCTGAGAGGGAGTAGGCTGAGGCTGCACATGTCCCTTCAGTCAGAGTTCAGAAGGGAAGCTGGGCTCTGCATCCCACTCCTTAGCCCAGCACTTTCCCTATTGCTGTGCTCTCTGTAACTTTACTTTTCCTGAAGGTCAGAATTGTAAGGGAATAACATCTGCAAAATGCATATGCTTGAGTGCCTGTACTTAAATCTAAGTGAGAGAGACTTCAGTAACAATGTTAATATGACAAGCAAGGGATGTATAAAGTTCATTTCAAATGAAAGTCTTTAAGGAAACCCTTTGTGCCTAGACACAGGAGGACAAAAGTCTCTCTGGGGGCTGGGAAGATAATTGGCTTGAAGGCAAGCGCCAAACGGGTACGAATGTGTGCTGGGATGCTGTGCAAAAGAGTCACATCAGAGATTATGCACAAACTACTAATTTTGCATAAATAGACTATGTCTGGATCTGGAAAGGATGCAGATTTGTCTGGAGGAGGGAGGGTGGGAGACACAGCTTTCCCCGGGGTCAGTGGCAAAGCTGAAGGAGAGAAAGCCTTGCTGGATGGAAACCTAAGAGTGGTGCTGGGCAGGCAGAGATTCTGGCGAGGAGCTGGGGAAGGTGCCTGGTGAGCAGGGGAGGAGAAAGTCAGTGGATGCTGTGAGTACACGATGGCTCTGCCCACAAGAAATGGAGAGGATACAGAGAGGACCAAAACAAGCACAGCTGGAAGGACATAGGACCGGGCTGGTGAGAAGAGAGCAGCAGGACAAGTCAGAGGGATCTGCCCGGGAAATGGAAATTTGAGAAATGAACCTGCACAGCTGAGGGAGGATGGAGCAGGACAGGGAGGCTGATGAATCAGCGAGTCCTGGTTGAGGGCTGAGAGGCTCTGATGAGCCGGGGTAGATGGGGCTAAGACCCAGTTATGACTGGGGTGGGGTGGCAGAGTCAAAGAGTGAGTTCCGCAAAAGGGAAATCAAAGGCACTGGTTGTAGTGTGGAAAGAAATCAGCCTGGTTTGCTCAGAGGAACTAGTTTGTCTTAGGGCTTAGTGTGGCTGGAGCGGGTGATTGGAAAGGGGAAGGTCTGATGGATTTGCCTGGAAAAAAGGGAGAAAATGGTTTGGCTACAGAGGGTAACACAGCAGCTGTGAGGGATGTGTGTGCTGCTTGGAAGATAGTCAGAGATGGGATCTTAAGATTCAGACTGTCTCCGTCAGAGAATGAAGGGGAAGGGAAATGTCTTTCAGAAAAATGCTGGGAGCTGGCAGTGCAGGGAGGTGTCTGATACGGGATTAGAATCCTGCCTGGAAGAGAGGAAAGCTGAGAGCAGTTGAAGAGGGCAGTCCCACGCCAGACATCCCACCTGACCCCCCTTGCTGTCCTTTGCTCTGCGAGCTGGAGGCAAACACCAGCTCTCGCCATTTGCAGCCAGCCAGGAGCAGAGCTGCAGGACTGAACGCACATGTGGCTGTCCTCAAAGAAAGGTCGTATTTTGGGGATTCCTAAGCCTAAGGCAAATATGTCTGAAAAGATCAGGGGAGGACAGCACACTGTTAGAGGAACAGAAACATTTGCTCAAAATTCTCCAGTTAAGCTGTTTGATCTGTCTCTTGACCAAGAATGCAGAGCAGAACTTCAGGCAAGTCCTGTTACTGTTCTTGAGAAACACATGTATAAATCTTTCCTTATTCACTAAGTCACATAGAGGAAAAAAACATCCCATCCTTCTGCCCTACGTGCTGTCTGGTTGCTAAACTGTGCCTCAATTGGTCTTAGTTCCTGCACGCACTATGAAATGTGTTGGTTCCTCCCAGGACAGTACCATAAACCCACTGGGGCTATTTGAAATAGCAATTGTTATGCCTAATGCCTAAAGTATGCCTGGACTGCAACAGCAAAGTTTAGAAAAAGGCCAGAAATCTCAATGGTATTTCTCCTCCTCTGCATTTTTTCTGGTCTAGGTTAATTTGAGGGTGTCCATGCATTTTGTAATCAGCTCACTGAGGGGTGGATTCAATGGGGCTGCGGGAATGATGCCTCCTTTCTTCAGAGGAGACAGAGTTGTAACCTGTATTACTAACACTTATTTATCTCTCGCGTCAGGTTATTCTAATGCCACTCTCTAAGAAAGGAGAGTTTGAGCTTCTTTTCTAGACTATGGAAATTGTGGCTGATTTGACCTATGGTCGTGTTTCCTTAACTGGTGACAGCTACTGCCACTGAAAGGGTTAGACCTCAGATTGCCTTCCCTCCTGTGAGAGCTACACAAGTGCTGCAGGTCTGCTGGAGCAGTCAGTGATGTTCATAAAGCTCTGACATAACAAAGGCATAAGTTGAATTATATAAGTGGTATACATACAGGCAATTTCAGTGTTTCCTATAGTACCTAACAGCACAGACATGGATGCTGGGAGAATGCACGTGAGAGAACAAAGTTTGTAATCCCACCTTAGTCTACCCTGACTTCTCCGGCTCTTTGCATGGTCTAATTTCAATGCTGAGAAATGTCTACAGACAATTTTCTGCTTCCTATGACTCAGAATCCACCTGCAAGGGGATCTAGCGACAGGCGTGGTGACAGATGGCTTTATTACCTGTGACTTGGAAAGACAGGAGTGATCTTCTGAAGATCATTCAAGACGAGTGCAAAGAAAACCTCTAAATGCCACACAAATTCGTGTGAATGTTTAGGGCACACGTCCTTTCAAGTTAGCTTAGGCATTTTTACTGGATATTGCTTTTTCTCGACTTTGTTCTTAAAACCAAGATATCTTGGGTATTGTGAGAGGTTTGGGCAAGACTTCACTTAAGTGCTTAACCCATGTATTTCTTCACTCAAGTTATCTATGCTATCTTTTTGGTGTATCCAGCTCTACACATCTTAAGGTCCAGTATCTCATAAACTTTGTTTAAAATACCAAACCTTCAAAGGGATATATCTCAGATTTTCCAGGATATTAAAATCTTTAAATGAAAGCTTAGTCAATAATCCAGTTCTGTTACTAGTTTCACAACTGGAACTTGCATATATGTTCTTATCTTAGTGCATGAAAGTGTGTGCAAAAGCAAAATACTCATCTGCGTACATTGTCTATATGAAGGAGGGAGATAAAATAGCTTCCTCTGTGATGTGGTATTTATTAGCTACATCTGGAAAATCCGAACAAAAGAAATTGGTTGAAGTCTATCAGGACTTTCGAAGTCATGAGTGAGCTCCAGGAGTCAAAGTCAGCTTTGTACATCCCAGTAAGGAAAAGATGTAACTGAGGAAATTGTTAGAGACAAAAAATAGACTACCCTCCATACCCTAAAAACACCCTAACTGAACCTACTTTGGAGATTTCTTTTCCTGTATCACTGTGTGCCTGGAATGCTATGAATTTAATAACACAGGTCTTAAGTGAAGCTGTTGAACCTCTAAGATCCTTGATCTGCACCTAAAAATACTCCAAGTTCTCCAGCGCTTGCAGAACCGATAGCACATAGATTCCCTTGAAAAGGTGGATTTTTTTTCCTTCTCAACTGTCATTTCTAGCTGCAAATAACTCAGATGTTTTCATTCTACTTAGGCGTATTCTTTAAGAGCAAGATGATTTGTTATTTCAAGGAGAACAAACTTTTCCTCCTGTATTTGTTTCATTTTGCACATTATGATAGCTGCTCTGGGGACTTGCAATGTAAGACCATATATAAAATGGAACAAAAGAAACACATTTTCTTTAACACCACCAAAAGGTACCATAAGAACTCACTGTCACAGAGGTCACTGAAACACACTGAGATCCTCAGGACCTAACATGCGTTTAGATGATGAACAAACATTTGCAGATACAGCAAGTAACGTAAGGGTACGCCCATAAACCTCACAGCTATTAACATACATGAGTATGGAACCTGACAGTGAGTCATCAATTACAAATTTACAACAAAAACAGAGAGACCAATGCCAAGCAGTTACAAAATACAGCACATGGGCCAGACCATTCAGTTTGCCCGAGACATGATTGCGTTACCACAAGACCTATGCAATGAGTCAACAAGTAGCAGTGCTGCTATGTGCATAGACAGGGGTTTCAGGACTGTAGTCTGGCTTTGGTTTTGCCCTTTTCCAAGGGGATTTGTTCAGATACAGGTGGTCCTGGAGATTTGGGAGATACAACCAGTGCTGCCCATCCAACCTAACTGCCTGGAGAAGACAGTAACTCATCCAATTCCCTCAAAATGCACAGCGAGCACGGGAGTTTCACAAGCAGGTAGAGGCGGAGGGTGGGCTTTCACATTATCAGTCTTTTGGCAAGCAAATGTGCTGATTTCAAAGATTTCCTGCAGTGGAAGTGTGGTCTGAGCCCCATGCTCCCATCACCTTGCTGGCACACCAAGGGTCTTAGAAGCTTTCTGGTGGACTGGTGAGACCACCCCTGGGAAACACAAAGGAGAAGATCTTGTCCTAAAATGCTATAGGTGGAAAAAAAACCCCAGGGTGTGGCTAATTTGTATCCGTTTAGCCAGGAACAAGGCTGGTTTGAGGAAAGGAGTCAGAATATCACAGCACTGTGGATTTATTACACAATTCCTGGCTTTGCGGAGCGTTCAGTGCGGTAGCCGTGCAGAGCTGCTCAGGCTGCTGAACGATTTATGGCCACGTGGTTAGCAGTTATGGGATACAGTGATTGCTCCAATGTTGGGCTGAATGTTCAGAGCATGTTTTTTCCTGTTATGATTTTATTGTGATTTTATCTTAATCGGAAGTTTCTCCTTTCTAAGCTAGTTTTGTTGGAATTGCTGTTTCTAGGGAAGCAGCATTCTGCCTACCCCACTCTGGATATTTTCCAAATCTCTGAATATCATGAGGCAAACTCTGGCCTGCAAATACAGCTTACAGTAATTCAAAAAGGAACTGCAACTGAATTCAAGGCTGAATTCCACCAATTTGACTATATATAAATCAATATAATGGGGGTGTGTGCATATAAATATATAATCATGTATTTCTCAGTAATAGTTTCTGGAGGGTAAGATGATCATACAATGCATTAATACTTGGTATTGTCCCATATAAATGCAGTTACTGGAAAGATTGATTTCCATCATTCCGTAAGTAAAGCCGTTAAAATCTGCTACCTGATATTATGATTCATGTTCTTGTTTGTGTTGAATGTCACACAGCGTAAGAGAGCGTTGTCTGGAAGAACAAAAGAGACGGAGGCAGCGAGCAACAAAGAAAATAAGTACCTTTATTGGTACTTTCATACTTTGTTTTGCACCTTATGTAATTACAAGGTAAGTGTGAACCTACATACTGGGAAAAGACTGCCGAGATGCACTCGTAACTCAGAGAAGTAGGGCACTCTGAACTAGAAAATGATTGAAGTCTCCTGTGAAAGTTTTGTGCACCATTTCCACTCCTATGACAGAGATGATTGCATTTACTGAGCTAACAAAACTATGTAAAATGTCATAGTGCTTATCCGACACAATCCTGATGCAGTCTGTGGGCCCAACTGTGTTCAGTCAACCCAGTCGATACGTTGGTCGCATGGGAGTGATTTAGGAAGTCAGTCCACAGGAATCTGCAGACTTTTTTCATGTCAAGTAGCCGCCTACTCCTCAGATTGCCTCTCCGGTTCAGGGGTTGATCTGCAGGGGAAGACACTTGTCTGAATAGGTCAGACTGTAAAAATCTGATTAACAAGATCCAACTGAGGTGAAAACATGGTCCACAGACTTAAATGATAATTTTGTCTGACTGGATAGAGTTTATTAGTCATAAATATCAAAGCTGTTCTGACTCATAGCTAAAAAAAAATTCTTGTGATTTTATGGTCAGACATCTATCTATCTACTAGCTTATATTTGGAAATGAGTCCTGTGGGAAATATAAAATTACTCCTATGAAACATAAAGTATTAGAAAGTGAGTATATCCAGAAAAGCGTTATCTAATTGTTGAAGGAAAGTAACAACTTGCATTCCTTATTAAAAGACTCTGGAAAAACTGAAATGCTGCTATGCAGAACAGAGAAAGAAAAAAGTATTTTTAAAGTATCTGCTCTTCCAGTACTATCATATAAAAATTATTGGGGCTGACTTCAGTCAAACTCAGATCCGTCATAAAAAAATCACTGAAAAAGCTGAATTAAGACTCAATATAAGTGGGTATGTAACCAACCTCAAGTTTTCCCAATTTGGCATAATATCCTGAATTTCTATTTCTAACAAAACAATTCACAAAAAGGTCTTGTAGTCTTTTGGTAAAAATGGAAATTTTCATGTCGTATTGATTATATGTTCATGATAATAATAGCTAATTGATTGATGTTGTTTATTTGTAACAATGTTGTAAATACATTTGTAACAGTGTTCCTAGATTTACCTTCACTTTCACTTAGTCGTCACAAGAAGACACTCCATACAACACACTCCAAAGGGTATGAAAGGATTTATAAGTATAGGCATTCAGCCTTAGTTCTCAGGCTATAGAATATTAGAGTATTTGTCTCATTACAAATGGTTAAATTTCATTTTATGTTGGGTCTCTGAATTTAATGAAAATCATCGCAGTCACAGAATAGCTTGTGGCTCCGTCCTGAGTGACGCCGAGCGCCCTAATGAGGACTGTCAGAAATATTTTTGTGCTTCTCCACAGGCATCTCGGCCCAGCATTCAGGCACCACCTCCTCTTAACTCTGTGGCTTTCTCATTTGTGTCCCAGTAGCCCTAAGATAAAGAAGAGATGTTAGAAAAATTCTAACCTTCCTCCCTTTAGTCCACACAAGGATGACTCAAATGTTCCCCTGAGCCTTCAGTCTGTTGAGGACTAACAGCTTTGCTGCAGAGAGCAACTATAAGAAGAGTCAAGGTGTAGGGTCGTGAATGTGTGAAGAATGCTTGAAGGGCTGGGCACTGGCCAGATGTGCCAGGTGGGGTAAGGGCCATCACTTTCCTGGCCTTTTCAGTTCTGACACATCTACAGAATCACTGTACAACAGGGTGTGGGAAATTCCCTCTTTAGATACCTGAATCCCTCTTCAGACCTTGCTGGACACTGCACCTCATGGATGGATATTCGAGGATGTGCGTTACTCTGCTTCCCTATGTCTCACACTTACATCCGAGGGTGTTGAAGTCAGGGGGAAGAGAAAGCTCTTGAGCTTGATTATGTAAGCAAGTATTATTTTCTGGACTATGTCCAGCGCTTTGCATTCACAAGACAGAGGCAATCAATCACTTTCCAAGGCAGTGAACGGAAGATAGCCGATGAAGTGTATCGCTCAGCCTCTCACTTGGACAGCCAGCTCTAATCAGCAATATGCTTAAATTAAACATGCTTTTAAGTACTTCATGAACTGAGACCTGAAAGCAGCAAATCACAAGGCTTGACTGTAGCAACATCTTTCTACTTCCACACCAAAAATAAATAGCTGTCTCTAACAATTCCATGAACTAGTGAAGTAGTTGTGCTCATAACCCCAGACAGATAAATTCTTTGCTGGGTAAACCAGAGTGTTTAAGATTATATTAAGGTAAAAATCAGATGAGGCATCTCTTTTTTCAAGAAAACACCCTTCTAATTAATTCAGTGGCTGACCTTAAGTAGTATATCAGTAGAATCTGATTCTTCTTGATTTGTTTCCACTGTACCAGTTTGACAGATGTATTACCCCTTATTATTTATTTCTAGGCCTAGCTCGTTTCTTCTTTCGTAAAAATTCTATTAGTACACATCTCTTCTTTTGCTATATTTATCATTATGCAATTAAATAACATTGTTCAAAAACTGTTTTCTCCAAGGACAATTTTCATAAGAAAAATTAAAATAAGTCATACTGATTTCTTATATTAATTTCCAACTCCAGGCATTTCATACTGATATACAAAACTTTGCTCATGTAAGTTAATAAGTGCTGTCAATGTGTGAGGAAATTGGCTTTAAATTAAAAATCCTGAAGTAATATCAGAAGGAAGTTCATAGCCCCAAGCCCTCAGGTTACAGAGGAGGATGGTGGAACAGGCAGAAGAAGATTAAAATTCTCTTGTGTCATCTCTGGGGACAAAGGGTAAACAAACTGTGTTTTTAAAGTGGTTGCCTGGCCTCTGCATGCAGATCCTGCTCAGGTAGGCAAGCAAGTTCAGAATTCCTCTGCAAGTTATCTTCTTGCCTGTCTGTGCATATAAATGCATGATTTTCCTATGCAATCTTAGGTTGACGTATTTGAAGAAAGTGGCTTTCTAGTGTTCGTCAAAAGCCTCAGCTGATGTGAGGTAGAGATATTTTCCTCCTGGATAGAAAACCCTTTTTGGTACAAGTTGGAGGGTGCTGCTTGCTATCATCCTATCTCTGTGATGCCTTGCTGTCCTCATATCTCTGTGCTGACAGGCGGTTCCTGCAGCTCTGGGGAACAGCGATGGCTAGAAGCAATGGTTTGCAAGATTTACTGCAAGAGATTTGCAAGATTAGCTACAAGAGTTCAAAAGTCTGCTTCCTTACAGAAGCTGGCCAGTTGTAATATATGCACCACTTCCGAGGCAAAAGTATCTAAGGGTAAATCAGTTAACGATCACTGCGATGTCATTTTTATATTAAAAAGCAATCATTAAAATAGGGCTTTTTCACTAGCAAGATAGCATACAAAAGATTCGGTCTACCAAGCAATAAAGTGAACACAAAGTAAAATCAACACCAACATCAAGATAAAACTCCTGGTCAGCTTATTCATATCATTAACACAAAAGAAAAAAAATAAAGTCTAATTCTGAGGCTATGGGACTTGTGTGGAGAAAAAAAAAAATCAGACTTGGACACAAACAGAAATGTTAGGAATGCAGGCTTAAAGAGCTAATCCAGTTCTTGGGGAAAGGACAGAATTTCTTTTTATGAGAACCTCATCAAGTACTAGCTCCAAAATGCAGTGCCAGCTTTGTTTCACTCCAGAGCAAGATGTTTTATCTTGTTTGAGACTCTGGTCTGTTCAGAGGTTTCTCCATAACTCAGTTAAGGTCTCAGGTTTAAGCAGTGCACAACATATATGTTGTCGTTATAGTAGTCACCAGCTGGATGTATACATGTTCAGTAAAATATTTTACTAATATGGTAGACTGCACATGTATATAAAAGGTTTTCAGTGCGTATTATCTGCATAAAAGATCAAGGTCTTAATCTTCAACATAGCATTCTCATTTGTTTACTGAAAGTGAAATAAAATAATCGGATAGACATTTGCCATGACACACGCTACAGAATTAGGTTTCCAAAATATTAACAAAGCATCACAGCAAAAGAGCTTAAAGCTCTGAAATGAAAAGGTATTGAAGACCAGGCAGTAAAAGGGTTGCTTTTTAAAGTAAGATAGGGAATTATGCAGTTGATGCCATAGAATTTAATTTACGCGTAGCACTGAAATATTAATATTCCTTTGCAGAAAATGTCTTCTTTTTAGCTAAAATTTTTCATGAAAATTGAAGTTATGCATATAATTTCCCTCATAAATGAGAGGCAAAACTCTCTTTCAAAGGCAGCAAAGTATGTGATATGCCTTGAAAGACTAGCATTTAATTGTTCTTACACAAAATGGGATTGCATAGCTCAGGGTTTGTCTGCATTTCTGTGTTTGCTGCTTGATATCTGCAAATGTAATTTACTACCAAAAAACCACACAAGAATTGCAAAATGTGTAAATATCAAGGATACTTAGGGAGCATAGTAAAAGAAAATATTTAAATTTCTGACAATAAAAGTGTAGGCTTTTTAGTTGATCAGTCAACGAAGGTAAAATTAGCAAGTCTAGGCTTCCAACCTTGAAGTGTGTATTTGATATGCTTTAAATGAAGATTGTTAACGTCATAGCACTGATTGACAGATACTCAGAGACAAATTTGTCATATTTTGGTCATTCAAGGCATCCACTGAATTTAAACAAACTTAATCAAATTCACATCTATAAAACATTTGGTAAAAATAAATCAACCGGAAAAAATTCAAAAAGATCAAGTCCAAAATGCAAAGGCGGCATCAAATATGCGAAGTGGAGAGTAACAAGAAGAAGGATGGCTCGTGGTAGTTTATAAAGCAAATATGACTCAGTAGATGATAAATTTCCAAATAGTCAGTTCTCATTTTAGAGGATATTACTGTGAGTGTCATAAACTACATTTTATTAAACAAGAGAGAATACACCAGATGAGACCCCCTGGGAGCTTGAGTAGATTATAATTATGTCTGAGATTCGGTCCTACTTTGTAAGAAAGATATCAACCATGAGTTACAAGGAGAGGCTGAAAGAACAACATTCGTTTAGTCGAGATGAAAGGAGGGAGAAATGGGACAGAAGGTGGCTCTTTGGTGTCTCAAAGTTGCTTACAGAGATCAGCTGAGCCAAGCGGCATCAGTGGAGGGGCAAGAGCAATTCCGAAGTATTGTCATGTAACATAGCCTGGTCACCTCAAACGTCTCACAAGTCCGTGAACCCAAAAAGTAGTTTGGTTAATGTTACCACCCCTAAAAACATCATTATATAGGTGCACCTCACTTCCAATGGAAGTGACACAAGAAGTGATCAACTTGCTAGTACAAAGCACACAAAACTACTCTCAGTATTGAAATTACCAATACAGTGATGGTGGCTAAAGCCCCAGCACTGCCTGCAGACCCACGATGCTAAGCCCAGCGCACGTATCCAGGAAGAAACAATGCTTTTGCCATGGAGTTTGCAGTCTAGGCAAACCAGAGCGGAGAGAGAAGACAGAAGCTCGTAGTCAGTGGTATAACAGATTAAGGCTTCTTAGTCCCACTTCTGTGCTCAAATGACTGGACCATGATATCTGCCAGCGCCAGGTTAAACAAACAATATAGTGAACGTTTATGGAATTAGAATGTGAAGACTGAGGAAGAAAATTCTCATCTCTAAACTGCTCCAAGTACCAACACTGTTGTCATTGCCGCTGCTGCAGGAGCCACACTTCAGAATGCTCCTTGGAAATAGTGCTTTGCCTGAAGAAACATCACCAACTGAAGTATTTTCCAGGCAGGTTTAAGAGCACCTGCTGCTGAAGACAGTTCCAGCAAAGATCTTATTTGCCATTGCTTAGTGGAGCTCTCTAGCAGCACGCATGGCTGTTTGTACTCTAAAAAAATCAATAGTTTCTCAACAGCTGTAGAGACATATAGAACAGAACTACCCTGCAGTATTGCTCAAAGACATGGAGAAGGAAAACGTTGTGGAGTTATCAATATTTCACTGTCAAAAATGCTCTCAGTACAAACTGAACTATCTGTGCTAGCGTAAATATGAGGAGTGTATGAAGTTCTTCCCTCTGTCTTGTACTGAATTAAAAGTTTTGCCTTGCTAAATTTGTTGCAAATGTATACATTTGGCCTTTAAAATGACCAGTTTTTAAATTCAAGATATATTATACTGTTTCTCAATGATGAATTTTCCTTCCTTGCTTCTCCTAAGACCCGGACAAACTGTTTAAAAGCATCAAACTCCCTCTCTAGGAGCTGGACTGGCTAAGAAAGCTAGATAGCACTGGTGAGGTGGTTTCTCAGATACTCTAGAGGGGACCTAGGACCACAAGTTCAGACTAGATGTTGGATTTTCAGACAGCTAATGGTAGGGGAACATGACTCCCATGAGACCAAGCAATGGCACTTTATGTCCCAATCTCAAATTTTAGTGTTCAAAGTACGGTTTTGCATCAATATGTAGAAAATTATGTTACGCTATGCAGAAATAATTTTTTACAATACTTACAGTTAAATTTGTTGTGCATGATGGACTCAATGGTGACAATAAGTGTGAAAGTCATCAGAAAACGTACCTGGGGAGATTATACTCCTTTCATTCCCTTTGGAGCTATATTAAGTCTATGATGAACTTCAGCTGCCAGAAACATCATCTTATGACACAGACTACTAGAAAAATGCACAAAACAAAAGCACTAAATGAAGAAAAAAAACGAAGTGAAATATTACTGTCTAACAAGAGGTCTCACTAGGACCGAAAGCCGTAGAATCATCAGAGAAAGTAACACACATTGTCCATATGGATAAGTTTTGGCACAGAGACTAAAAGTGTAATGGTTGAGGATGTGTTATGAAGGAAATGATTTTATGAGTAGATGTTGCATGATATTTTTCATTAACAGTAACCTTTCTGTGAAGTGTTGACCTGCATACCACAGAGTATTTATGATCTCAAATATGATGTTCACTAGACAGTAAAAATGGGGCTAGGTTACAGTACCCTAGAGAGAGGGGTCCCATTTATAAAGTATCTTGATGGCCTGAGTGAGTCAAAAGAGTTGAAAATCCAGCTCTACATCCGAGATTTGGAGTCAGATTTTAGTCTCCAAAAGGTGTATTCCAATAACAAATAAATAGGCTCTTTTGAAAACTGCCTCATATCCTGATAGAGCTATTCCATTTTGCTCTAAATTATTTTCTTTTATTTTCTTGCAAGTGTTCAGGAATAAATTGGGGTTTTTTGGGGGGGGGGTGGTCATTGGCTTACAGTTGTGCTGTTGCTCCATGTTTTTAATATGAATACTAATTCTTTCAACCTTCCTCTTTCCACAGACTTGTTGAATTATCCTCTGTGGTCCACATCAATTCCCACTGGGGAATCATTTCCAAGTGCTTAGCTTACAGCAAAGTTGTTTCAGACCCTTTTGTGTACTCTTTGCTACGGCATCAGTACAAGAAGACATGGAAAGACATCATAAACAAGATCCTCAAAAGAAGCTCCATCAATTCCTCTGCCCTCACGAGTGAATCGCACAATCGGAATATATTGCAGCTGAACGAATGAGAAGCCTGGTATGGGACCTACAAGACACATAAAATGATATATGGGAAACAAAAGTAACTGGCCTATCCCTAGTAGCTATCCTCAGCTGTCAAGGTTTCAGGAGGCAGTCACAGACAGGTTGAAGCCCAGCCCGTACCCCCCCAGTAGCTCATGTAACAGCTAAGGGAGCCTGCTTTGTACCTCCTGCCTCCGACTACAAGAGTGCTATTAATCTGTGGTCCTGCAAGCTTCGCAAATACAAATCTCCCATTGATTTCCATCAGCAGTTATACATACATATAGGCTAAAAAGCCAGTTCTCAGCAGAAGGACTCATGAAAGTAATGGGAACAAACTGGTGCAATCATAAGATTATTCCAAAAAGCTGCACAGGGATATTTGTGCTGTATTTTTCACTGGGTGCAGGTAGCGTTCCCTCCGATGGAGCTGCCAGCCTGACTTTACAAAAACCACTGCAACCTAGTTGCTTGAGTAGGTCCCATACAGAAAAACTCTTAATAGGAAAAGCTTAATAAAATAATCTTTACCTAGCTACTTATACAGTGCCCAACGTAGCTTTCAACCTCTTCTGATACACATTCTTTGAACAATCCTGTAGAATGGAAGGAAGAGAAAAATAACTTTTGAATTATGCTACAGGCTGGATTCAGCCATGTTTTCCCTAAGTTTTTTAAGTAACTTCCACAGAATCTCATTAGTTTTCTCCCCATGAAATTTCAGAAAAATAAAACTGGTAGACAGGATGGAAAGGTCAGGATGCCTCCTGCCTACCTTCCAGTATATCTGAGTTATAAAGAGATGGATTTTGCCCAAAGCTGCAGAACTGGGCCCTGTGCCCAGGGGAAAAAAAAAAAAAAAAAATTTTTTTTTTAAGCTGTTATTAATCATGTTTTTTTCCTACTGATGTGCTACCTAAAGGAAAGATAAGCCTAAAGCTGAGTTTAAAAATATAATTCCAAAGCAAGTGAAGTAAAAATAATAGACCCCCTCCCCACTATGAAGTGCAGCCAATAATCTAAATCCACATCTGAATGTGCAAATCATAGGAGGTTTCAGTATAGATCTTTAGAGCTTTAGATTGCAGCTGTACATAGTAATGTTATTAACATTTACCATGCATTCAGTTCAGCCTGCAGCTAACATAGGCATACAACCAGTAAAATTTCAAACCCAGGACAATCCTACATGTCACACTTCCTCAGGCACCGCCACAGTATCTTAATTATTGTCAACATTATTTAGTTCATTGTAAGTACCTAACATAGGCATACAACCAGTAAAATTTTCAAACCCAGGACGATCCTACATGTCACACTTCCTCAGGCACTGCCACAGTATCTTAATTATTGTAAACATTATTTAGTTCATTGTAAGTGCAACCACAGGTGGTAGATGGCTTCACAACTGTCACATAGACACGTGATGCTGAAGACATCCTCCAGTGACTCGTGAAGAATTACTTTCCTGAGTAATTTTCAGTGACTTCTTTCTCAATTCAGTGACAACTCTCTGAAATGAGAAAGTTTTTCAACTGCTTTCTTGTTAATTAAGCTGTAGAATATCAAGAGCAATAATTAATCAGTTATCATTTCTGTTGTTCTGATTTTTAGGAATAATCAATTTTTAAAACAACTTGCATCAACAAAGTGTGTCGTCCTAATAATCTCTTAAATTTATTTTCAAGTAAAGAACTATTGGTTTCAAATGCTTCACAGTTATACTTTGATTGGCAAAAGGCTAAATATCTATTCTGACCTTAATTCTGCAGACATTTTTGTCCAGAAAGTGACTTAAGGTCTGTAAAACAGCATCAAGTTAACACCAGAAATTCAATTAATTTTTGCTAGGTGGGTCAAGGTCAAGAAGGCTTCTGTCCAGTGGCCATAAACAACACAGTTTCTTTTGTGAGGGTAAATGGCAAATACACGCCCAGATTTTGAATAATCTTGGTTAATTAGGCTCAAGCATACAATGGCAGCTTAAATAAAAGCTGATATAGCTAGTTATATTACCGCCTATCTTTGTGCATATTCTGACTGTCAATACCATATTCTTGGAACTCAAATAATCTTATAGGGTCAGGATCATATTAAGAAAATAAAGCCCTGGGTACTAAAAATGTGGCATTACTTTTTAGTTACCACCTTCTGTGTCCCCCAGGCAAAGGGCACTGTTTGGTGCCTGTAGCTCTGCAGAATCCCTGATGGCAAAGGTTAATGAGCTAAATCAGTATATTCCCTATCACTTATGCTAAATGACCACTATCAGTCATTTTGCAAACATTAGCACGTTCCATTTTGCAAGCTCTACCATGAATACAAGTCTTTGATAAAACAGACATTATGGCAACATACCTTGTAAAAAGTGCCCACTGCTGAAGTTTCTGGCCAGTGATTCAAAGCCCAGACAGGTAATTCAGTGAGGGGCTTCACCCCAAAGTCAGTGAATGGCGGGTAATACCTCGGTCGTTGGTCTGGAGAACCTTGCCTTAGCCTTGCTCTGGCATGGTACTACAGCTGCAAGGAACCATGTTAATCTATAAATTTATGTTGTCACCTGCTTTATAAGTGGAAGAATTAATATAATGAAGATCATCATCTACCACGTAAATAAAAATTTTCAGCTTAACTACTAGTTACTTTAGTTATAAAAAAAAACGTAATTACAATAAAATATAAACACAAATATAGTCACAGAAATTAAGTAAGTTTTTACAACACTGCATTCAAAATTAGCCCTTAGCCAGATTAAATAATCTACCTCATCTTAATCATTTTACCTTTTAGGCTTAACATAATTTTCTCAGGTGCAATAGATAAAAACACCCAGTTCAATACTTGTTTCTTAAGAAGTGGAAGTCATTTTGACGACTTGATTGTATCAGAATACAGGATAATAAAAAGTTGATTATTAGTGAGTTTAAAAAGATAAAAAGCTCTATATCAGGTTGTTATACATTTTACTAAGACCACTTTTACCTAAGTATATTGCAACAGGATGATTGTTAAAGTCCACAACTGTTGTTAACTTATATGTGGGGTTGCTGCCAAAGTCATTGGGAGGTTTGTAAATCGATAAACCTAGCCCCAGAAGGATTTAAAATTTTAAATCAATTATTCAAATAGAGTAAGATAATTTCCCAGAAAAAAACATTGTACCTTTAGGATGGCTAGTAAAAGATGGAGAAAAGTACAGCATTGGACTTGTCTCATTATGCTTGTGTATCACAGTCAGTCACTGGTTGATTTTTGTGTCACCGTGAGCAATAAATCTCTCCCCCTGTATGTGTTTAAAAATTTGTCTTTCTTTCATGGTGCCTTTCTTCTAGAATTAATCTTATAACAGAGAATAAATATAATTTCCCCTTACTTACATCAGCTCTCTGACACATTGTCATATTTCTACCATCTAAAGCAATCAAGAGTTGTAAATGCTGATGCTTGACAAACTGATTCAGTATACAAAATAAAAGTAATACCCCAACATTTCCTCATGACATTGTGTAAGATACTAGAAATATGATACTGTGGCTCGTTAAGTGCTAGATATTCAGCTGAATTCTTATAAGCAACTGAGAAAATTTTCTAAAATGTATGTCTAAGTGATGAATGTAGATACAAGTAACTGTCTGCTGAGTATTATATGTACTATACAACACTTTGACTCGAGTGAGTTAGAATAATGATGGTAAATGTAATGCACAATACTTTATTATCTCTGATCATGAAGCGGAACTGTTCTCTTGTCTAACACAAATGTGCGTGTGTGTGTGTAGCGGGGGGGATTTTCTGTTTGTTATTTAAATGTTTTTGAAAAATTTTTGTAAAGTATGGCTACAATGTGTGCCCAAAATATGGAACTGCATGTGCAAAAATTGTGCAGCTGCTTAGGCAATATGCAGTTTTCTGTTTGTTGGTATCTGCGATCCATATGCAATATCTATTTCTCACACGCATGTTCAACTAACATTTTCTTCGTATCTTGTAAATTTGGTGGGCAAAACATTGGCAGATGATTAAGAGAATTTAGTCCACTATGTCATTTTGTGGATTTTGAGCTTTTTCCTCTGTTCATTTTACAGTTACTTTTATAATCTCAGAGCCCTATACTAGGATCCTGTTTTATGTTATGTTTTTGAGCCAGTTTGAATGTGAAGATCTGGGTAACGGCATTTGGCAAAAACTACGAGAGACTGGTAAGAGTTTATTGAATAAACAATAAGAACCAGGTCTTCTCTTGACATAAATCAACATAATAGTTGGTTGTTCCACCTGAGGATTGAGTCCCATTTGATAACTATATCCAGGTTTTATAGATTTGTCATCTAAATCTGTAGAGCCCTGTTTTCATGGTATTTACAAATGGAAAGATGTAAACAGGGTTTAGCGAGTTCCTTGTGTGTGTATGTGCCCACTTGCAATGTCAGGCAACCGCATGGCTCTTCTCTAAATAAGTTCCATCCCTGTTTTCACTCCTTGAGTAAGAGACCCCAACAGTCTCTTTTCAGTTGCCCTTAATCAGACTTTTTATAACCTTTCTTATTTCTGGAAAAAATCTAATCTCAGCATCACAAACCACCTGAGGCTGGAAGGGACCTCTGGAGACATCTTGTCCAGCCCCAAAGAGGCACGTCACTGCCTCTTGCTGTAGTTTATCTTCTCAATTTTGCCAATGCATCTGTTTGCTGTGCAATAGAGCTGGGAAACAATCTTAGTCTGCTTCAAGCCAACAATAAAGTGTTCCTGGAAAGAATTTTATTTTTTTTTTTAAATAATTTTGGGAAGACATCTTAGACTTAACTTCAAAAACAGCTGCATCAAGAATATCTTTAGAGGTTACAAAACTAGGGCAGAAATAGGTGTGAATGGGAGGCTGAGGGTCAGGAAGGATGTAACGGCTTCGCTGCCATTGCAATGATATGTTACCTGGCTGCAGCAGGTTTTTCCTAGTGACCTGTTTTCACACTGAGAGCTCTACAGGCCTCTCAGCCAGACACTTACC